TTCCAGCCTTTGTGACTTACATTTCTGCCATCCAATCTAAAATTATATTATATTTGTCAGTAAATAGTAAAATCTCACCTGATAAGTGCACAATTTTACAACTACTCATTCTTACTCATACTGATATGATTAACCAGAATAATAAAAAGGGTATCACATGACTGCACAAAACTGCATTTGAATTATAACTTTTTATCTTTGAATTCACAATGTAATATTTTTATTTTGCACCTGACTTCCATTCCAGCTCCTGGTGATGTTGAAGGCTTCAGCGCCGATGGCCAAAATGACACCAGTATTACTCTAAAGTGGAAAAAAATTAATAACATAGATATTTATACTCTTCAGTTTAATGAACGAAAAGAAAACATATCGGCAAATGCTGAAACATACACAGTGTCTGGTTTGACAAGTGCAACTACATACACCTTTAGTCTCTTTGCCATGTTTGAGTATGCCACCAGCAGTGGAGCTGTCCTCACTGCAGTCACAGGTAAGATGTCTTTCCTCAGACTGGTAAACCAAAAAATTCTGGTGAAATCTGATTCAAGTAAACTTTGGTGACAAATTTTCTATTTTCCATTTGTAGCACCACAAAATGTTAAAGAATTTAAATCTCGTGACCAAAATGAAACCAGTGTCACCGTGCAGTGGAAAAAAGTGGATGACATCAATACTTACACTCTTTTGATCAATGAAAGAGAAGAACATTTTACCCTTTCAGCAGAAAATGGGACATACACGGTTAATAATCTGATAAGTGCAACTGGATACATCTTTAGACTCTTTGCTGTGTTTGATTATGCAAAAAGCAGTGGAGTTTCCATCACTGCAGTCACAGGTAAAATGTGTTTCCTCAAGCTGGTGTGTTAAAAGTAAACAAAAGATTCTGCGGAAATGTGATGCAAGTATACTTTTGTGACAAATTTTCTATTTTCCTTTTGTAGCACCACGAAATGTTGAAGAATTTAAATCTCTTGACCAAAATGAAACCAGCGTCACTCTGCAGTGGAAAGATGTGAATAACATTAGCAATTATATTCTATTGTTTGGTGAAAGCAAAATAAACGTGACCACATCTGCAGAAATGGGGACACACACAGTCTATTCCCTGATAAGTGGAGCTAAACACAATTTTACCCTCTTCACTGTGTTTGAATATGCTAGTAGCAGTGGAGTTTCCATCACTGCAGCCACTGGTAAGATATGTTTCCTCTTATTCTTACTTTAACAGCTCCGTTCAGACCAGCTGCTAACATGTGTCTTAGATGGTTTTAACACAAGTGAATACTGGAAAATGCAGGACTGAATGATCAAAGATTCAGATCTTCTTACTCAGGATATGTTCTGGAGTATATTGTAGGACACTGTTATACTTTGGGCAGGTACTTTCACACAGCTCTGAAAAGTTATGAATCCATGGTGTCATGCTGGATCACCTCTATATTACCTGTTAGTCAATTGTACTTGTGTTATGTTATTGGGGAAAAAATATGACGTGTGTGTATAAATGTTTTTTTCATTTGCAGCAGACAACTCTGACAAATCTGTTACAATCTTTGGGTCTCAAGGTTACAAATGTGAAACATGAAACCTATTGGTAAACTGTTTTTCTGTTTAACTTGAAGACAAAAGTCTTTCTTATTTTTCTCAGTTCCTCCAATGGTGCCTTCAGTCGATCAGACCGAACGCTCCCTGACCAACGTAACTCTTGAATGGGAGATTATGAATCAAGACTGGGGCTACCAGGTTCAAATCCATGGCAATAATGCATTTATTGAATCGACATCCAAGACATCACATAAGGCCTCATATTTAGTCTCAAGACTCAATCCTGGCACAGTTTATAATTTCAGCGTGATCACAAATTTCGGTGGATTAAACAGCACTGCTTACACCGATTTCATTGTAACAAGTATGTATGGAGACATATCAAACTTTCCTTCCAGATGTAACATTATATGTGCCAAGAAGGGCTTTTCTGTTCACCTCCAGGTTGAATTCAAATTGCATACATTTTAAAAAGCAATTCTCTCATCTGAAAATATTTTCTGATTATTTGCAGCTATAGACTGTGCCAGTGGAAAGTGGCAGGTCACTAACTCTACAATTCAAGGAACAATTAAAGGCGCGTTTACAAAAGCAACTGTTTCAAATGAATCACATGGTGTAATTTCCACTAGTACAAATGTGTTATTCACCGGCCTGTGCCCCGGTACAACCTATGGAGTGTCTCTTCACTATGAAAGACAATCCAAATCTTTTCAACAGTGTTCACACAAGGTAACAATCCGTAAGTACTGTTAACTTCTAATAATACTTTGTTTGGCTAATTGAATTTTTTAATTTGATCAAGACAAGACTTTATCAAAAAGACTTGTGTCAAGAGATTACTTACTTTGGTCTTTCTTTGGATGTCTTATCTTTGGATGATTTACCCAACGTACTTTCCATCATATAACATACCAATTTGTAGTCAGACAATATGATTCTATTCAATTTCATTTATTTGTGGTAATAATTGCAGTTGTGCCTTTTTTTCCGTGCAGTTCCTTCCAATTTAAAAGGCTACTGTAAGTACTGGGGAAGTGGTTATGCTGCCCGCATCATCTGGGATCCACCAAATGGTGTGTGGACAACCGTGCAGGTGAACGTTAGCGGGAAAACTTTTGACATAAATGGAAAAGAGGACCACTTTATCCTACATGAACTTAAACCTGCAAAAAGATATAAAGTGTCGCTTGGTCTACTATCGGGGACAGAAAGGAGTGCTGAACCATTTGAGTTTTCCTGTCTCACAGATGACAGAGGTAAGTACCGTGATGTAAACCGTGATGGTTTGGTTTCATTTTGACATAATGTTCTGCTTTTTAAGCATCTGTTGAAGGCTTTGAATCATGAACTGAAGACTTACTTCCTGTAGGAGTCATCGCAGGGGCCTTTTTTGCTGTGGTGCTTTTCATTGCCCTGGTCTGTGTGGCTGTTTTCATTTACCTAAAACATCCAGAAAAGATCAGGTTGGTGCAGCCTCACTACTTTAAGATATAAGATGAGATAACAGTGTAATGTGGAGGGATGTAGGTGGGTCATTAGGCTAAAGCATACCCATTCGTAAATTGTTTAATTCTTTGATTCCTCTCCAAAGCAGGAAACAGCCTGCTGGTGGATCAAAACAACAGAAATCAAAAGCAAAGTGAGTGTAAATGTTGTTCTCTTCAAGCAAAGCCGTCACACTCGGAATGAAATCCCACATTTATAATGGAAAATATTAATGGTTATTGTGTTGCTCAATGTTTTTATATTTAGTATTATCTATGCAAATATATTCATAGTATTTAATATGTGAAATAATATGTTTTTTTCTTCTGCTTTGATTTATTCTCAGGGCTATTCCTGTGACTAAGTTTTCGTATCACTTCAATCAGTTAAGTCTGGATGAAAACAGAGGCTTCAGTGAAGAATATGAGGTGCACAAGAACATCTAACTGGGTTCCATTCCTTTGTTTCTTTGCATTTTTTTCCCTACATCTGCCATTTGATCTGTGTGTTTCACATATAACGGCTTTATTGGTTTTCCGTGCATCTCATTACTTTGGTGTAGGGTCTCTCCTCTGTTGGCACAGACCAGACATGTAAGGCAGCCAACCTACCTGAAAACAGACCCAAAAACCGTTTCACCAACGTTCTGCCATGTATGTGTCTCCTCTTACTGTTGGACCATCCCCTAGCTGTTTTTGGCTTGCTCGCAATTCCTTTTAAAAGCAGTTAACTCATCCTCTATTTTCTCACACTAGATGACTGGTGTCGAGTGAAACTCATCACAGCGACTCCCAGCGAGACTTTAGACTACATTAATGCCAGTTACATGCCTGTAAGTACTGCACACAAACAAAAGCTGTAGCCGTTGTTAGAAATGAGTGACTAAAATATTCTCTTTTTACACTTGTCAACTTTAAAACGTGTTCAAAACAGATGAGAAGAAAACTGTTAAAAACAAAACTCTAAAATGCTAAACCAGTAAATGCACATCCATCTAATATTTAGCAAGTTACATGGATTTCCTTTGTAAAGATGGCTTTTTTTTATTTCAAACAGAGCATTGTGATTTTAACCTGAAGCAAATGAACTTTTGATCACCTCCAGGGCTACAACAGCAACAGAGAGTACATTGCCACTCAGGGTCCTCTGCCTTCCACAGTTAAAGATTTCTGGAGAATGGTTTGGGAACAGAGGGTGAATTGCATTGTCATGGTAACCAACTGCACGGAGGGAGGGAGGGTAAGTCTACAGGAACTGAGGGAAGTGCATAAAGTGAAAGATGTTATCCTATTTAGCACCTCTATCTGTTAGAGTATGTAAATAGACACCCTGATGGTGAGAATATAGTTTTATTTGTGGAAGACTTGACCTTTGTGTGTTTTCTTTTCTTTTCATAGACCAAGTGTGAGCAGTACTGGCCTCGAGACTGCAAGGAGTGCCTTTATGGAGAGTTGCTGGTCACTGTCCAATCTGAACAAGTGGAGTCCAGCTGGACACTGAGGCAGCTCACTGTGAAACATGTACAAAAATTTGATTAAAAAAAAACTAAAAAAATACCATCATTTTTCAGGGGGAAAAGAAAATATATAAAAATGCAATTTAAGTGTATTTCTTGGTACCAGTTCTTATGAATGGCTGTACTGAGTATAATTCTTTACTGTTTTATAGTCCAATAATCTTGTAAATGATCACTGTTTACAGAACGATACCTCTGAGGAACGCACTGTGAAGCATTTCCACTTCACTGTCTGGCCTGACCATGGAGTCCCACAGGACACTGGAGTCCTGATCCAGTTTCGGCAACTTGTTAGAGAGCACATAGAGACAGACGGGGGCCAAGCACCGACTGTGGTTCACTGCAGGTATGGAATGAGTTTGCATCCATTTGGACTCCGCAGATGGTGTCTGAATTGGTTCTACCCTGACACGCACGCTACTTACATTTTTCCTAAAGCTCCCTTATGTGAGCCGCTGCCTCTAGGGTCCATTTAAAGTGCAACACCGGGAAGGACTAATCGCTCACAGTGACAGTGTGATGGACGCTTATAAAACTAATTTCTAAGAAAAACAGTTTTTTTCTACAAGGTTAGAGGGGCCAAGGCTGACTAAATACTTGGCAGGTTTAGCAGCTTTTTTTATCCCACATATTTGGCTGAAGAGAAAGAGCACAGCAGGACAAGATGCTACACCACGCTCTTCCGCCAAGTCTCCTGCCCCCGGCCCATTGTAAACAAAATGCTCTGCCCTTTTAAGAGAACCGTGTGCGTTTGTCATTTGTGCTTTTAATGCCACAATGGCCTGAGCACCTCCAGCTATTGCACAGTAGCCTTCTACTGGCAAAATGAGTGCCACTAGACCATGGCTGCCATCTGACTGCTTTATGACCCTTACCAAGATATCCAGACTTCCATTTTAAAAGAAGACCATGGGGACGGGGAGGGTGGCTGTTCACTTCAGTTTATAAAATGTGAAAAAGAAAAGAAGACAACTTGCAGCTGACAAGTCTTAAAAGCACACGTGTGTTTCAGTCTTTCTCATGACTGCACATCAATAATAATACTCACCAAGAACTCAACATTTAATGATTGAACGTTTTTGTGCTTTGTGTCGATTAGCTCAATCCAGAAATGAGGAGCCTAAAAAGCCAAAAACTTGGCTCATAATGTGAAGTAAATAACTGACCTGTAGGAGGTGATTTTTAGATTAAATGAAAACATATGGAATGCGGCTGAATGAAACGTATCCTATGTTGTCTCTTCGCTAGTGCTGGAGTGGGGAGGACGGGCACCATCATTGCCCTGGATGTGTTGCTCCAGCAGCTGGAGAAGGAACAAGCAGTGGGCATCAATGCCTTTGTACACAAGATGAGACTGAATCGACCATATATGGTGCAGACAGAGGTACGTGTTTCTTCTATTGGGTTTGTTGGAGAATCAGGGAAGAATTGTGACGAAAGTTATTGAGAATGGAGACCACAATAGTTTTTTTCTATCTGAAAATAGAAAAAACATGACAAACCTATTTTTCCTTATTAACTCAGCTAACCAACCCCAGTCTAATTCCATTCCATGTTTTCTTCAACTTGACCAACATCCTCCTTTTTGACCTCGTAGTGAGAATCCAGTTCCACCCCTTCTATGCTTCTGGTTTTACAGTTCCGTTGGCTGAAACTGCTGCAAGCACATGAAACCACAAAAAATTCAAATGAATTTTTTTCAGGTTTCAGCTTTTTTTTTTTAGATGTCAGATATTCTGCCTGTCAGATTTCCTCTAACTCTCAAGTGTTCTTCAGTAGGGCAGAACAAAAGCTTTTTCTATTTTTATTCTTCCCTCTTTTAAACCCAAAAAATAGTCTGTCAGAATATTTAGCAATGTAGCACTTTTTTCTCCTGGTAGTAACTCAAAAATCATTCCACCATTATCTCTGTCATTTTTCATCATTAAAACATCCAGTCATATTAAAATGGAACACAGTCTGAGTTTGTTGGGTTTCAATGCCAATGCAATTTTACTTCCATGGAAGTTTATTTCCATGCCTCTTCAGGCTGATTTAAATGTGCAAACAGACATAATTCCAGACCTGCTGTCATTTAGCAAACAGGGAGGTGTCATTCAGGGTTCAGATAAGCACACAACAAGCCACTTGTGCTACCCTTTCCAACTAACAAGAACATTTTGCCCTCAGTCCCAGTACGTGTTCCTGCACCAGTGCATCGTGGACACCCTGCAGCCTCACCAGAAGACTGATGAAAACGTATACGAGAACTCGGACGTGATATACGTTAACGCCACTGCGCTCCGGGAGCTCCGTTAGCAAAGGCAAACTCCTATCCCACATCAGCGCTGCACTGCTCTGCCTTAATGCACGAAATGAAAAGATCATTCTTATATCAAAATGTTAAACATGAAATGTTTTCTACATGCATGTAGCCCAACAGAAATTGAACTTCTTCATTTTGTGTGTCTCTTCTGAGCCATCAGTGTCCTGTACTTATCGTAACCGTGTGCACACCCCACCCCAGATGACCACAGAATGTCTCTGACTTTGTATCAATATTAACTGTAAGTAGAAAAAAATCACTTTGTACAGGAACTAAAATGCGTCGTATTAAAAATATATCAGATTGTATCTCTGTTACTTTTAAACGTTAAAGGAAAAGCCCCATCTGCTCCGATGTGAAGCAAAGCCAATGCCAGGATGACGGCCGGCTCTAGCTGGATATGACTAGCTGTCTGTTAGTTTCAGCTGCACGCTGTCAGCATGCCGATGAGCTTTTTCACTCGTGTGATACAACCACGATGCTTACACTTCTTCATTTGTGGGACCCGACGGCCCCTGATTACTGGGAGGAGCTGTGAAGATCCTGTCAATAAGTTTCTCTCTAGCATTCAGCGCCTCAGAGCTGTCTTCTGCTGGCACCAAATGCTGCCTCCCGGGAAACAGAGGCTCGATCTGACCGGACTCAGGCGGAAGTGGGACGGAGAATTTTTTAGCTATGTTGTGCAGCACGCTGCATGCCTTGATAATGTTTGACTTTTTGTTCAAAGCGTCCTCGTCGGCAAAGCCCAGCTGCATCAAACAGCTGAAGCGCCTCTTCAAGGAGCCCAGCGTGATCTGCATGACGTTGTGGGCCCTGGTGTGGGCCTCGTTGAACCGGACCTCCTTGTTGTTCGCAGGCTTCAACACAGGAGTCAACACGTGCTTGCTGGGGTTGTAGCCTTTCCCACCTTTCAAGAGAAAAAAAACAAACAATGCAATCAACACAGTCAGACAAAGGGCTCATTCTGAAGCCCAGAGTAAAACAGTCCAGCTGCGAATTCCAGATGTCACAAAATAGCCATACATTTGAAATTTGGGCAAAAATGATCACAGAAGGAATGAGTGTCACCTTGTACACAGGTGTGATTATATGGGGTGTTTCAGTTGTGGAAAGTTTTCCAAATTCCGTTTTAAACTTTAAAATGTCTTTTGTTTCTTAAATGGTTTCAGCAAACTAAGTAGCTCTGGTCTGCTAAACAGAAGTCTGAGATAAGGCCACATGTCTGATATAGATGATTTATTTAGGGAGTAGTTAAAGGTTGTTTTTTTAGGTCATAAGTTGTTCTGTCTGAATTGCGTCAGTCATTAAATGTGAGACAACAGGAGGCAGTGCTTGTGTGAACTGTGAGAGTGGCTGTTCGGGACGCAGCAGGGGGGCTTTCTCGTGTTTCTACCGTTTCACATTTCTCACCGATCAACCAAAACGGCCCGTGCAGGTCCTCCTCCACCTCCCTGCCCTGGAACGAGGACTGCCACATCTCCTGCTCGGGCGTGTTGCCCGCGCAGCACTTCTCCACGCTCAGGATGTTGCCCTCCGAGTCGCAGATGAACTGGCTGACCACGGACGTGTAGCCCAGGGCGTTGACGAAACACTTGAACGAGTCCTTCTCGTAGGGGGAGGCTCTGATCTTGAAGTGGGCCGGCGCCAGGACGCCCAGCACGCCGGGGATCCGGCAGAAGTCCTCCATCTTCGCGGCGGTCCTCTCCCTGGCCCCCGGGGTGAGGGGGAAGGAGATGAACACGTCCGACATCCCCGCCAGCACGCCGGACACGGAGCTGACCACGGCCGTGAGGCTGGCCGGCGGGGAGCTGATGGCTCTCTGCAGGACGCCCAGGTTGAAGACTCCGTGCGCGTAATAGTGCAGCGACATCATGATCATGGCGTCCACGGAGGGCAGGGGTTTCTTGAAGGCCACCGCCTTCATGCGGACGCGGACGGCCTCCGTGATGAAGGAGATGCAGGGTCTGGTGAGGTGAAACATCTCGAACAAGTCTTTGTCGTCGAAGTGGTCGAAGCAGCTCGGGGCGCCATTGTTTTCCTCCGCGTAACCCAGGAGCTCCTCCTGCACCGCCAGCCACACCGGGCCCGGGAAAGCCATCCTATCCCCGCAGCAGCCCCCGGGAAGAGGCGAGACCTGCGCCAGATGTGTGCCAAACAGCTGCACTACCTCAGCTGGGGGCTCGACAGTAAACTGGAAAAGCAATAGTCTCTTCTTCTGGCGAATCAAAATGTGCATCAGCCACGCGGTGCTGCCCTCTGCTGTTCATTGGTTTATGTATACACTTTTAAGAAAACTTTCAGGAATCCATTCAGTCCAGTTTTCCATCGGTATTAAATGCTAATATCCATGTAGGTCTTTCACAGAGCTGTGGACAATATGCACCAAATGATCGGGAATATTAATTTGATCATTTAAACAACATGGTATGATCTCCTTTAAACTCTAATATTACATGGCAGCTTTCTTTTCAAACTACATATGTAATCATTGCACAAAACAACAACATATCGAATGATTTGTTATTTATTGTAAATCCATTTGTGTGAAGGCATAAAGTGCAACAAAGATATCCAAACATTACATATAATAAATAAAACTGGCATTGACATGTACAACATTTAAAAACCCCACCCAATGCAGACGTGTGAAGCTTTTCAAACAAAGTGCAAAAACAAATACAGCAGAATCCATTTTTAGAATTAAAAGCTAAACAGTGATACCAAAATAAATCATCCGAACATTCCCCGAAATTCTCATTTTCTTTCCTTCAGGTCCTTGGTGACAAATAGAATATTTTGTTGACTTCACTGATGGAAACGTCGCAAAGCCGCGGTATACCTCCCTTCCTATAGCCTTCTGCCCTCTGGCCTTGTGCGTACACATCTGCGACAAAGGGAGGATATTTCAGGATGTTAGCAGGAGAAAATCATCTTCTCATTGGAGTGTTTTTTCATGTCAGATCATTATCAGTTCATTATCTCGACATTTACATCATAAAGGGGCAGCACACAAAGCCATTCTCTGCTTCCCATTTTCTACATTTTCTCCTAATGTCTACATGAAGCATCTGCAGCCCTGCAGCCACTTTGAAAAAGCATTGACTGTGATTGTTTTTACATATGTTAGTGATTCCACTGCCACCTAACCTCACCTGTGATGTTGTCCACAGAGTCCAGCGGGGCTGTGTTGGTCATGTTCACTCCGAACAGCACCACCACACACACAGCTAATGCAACCAGCAGATAGATTGGCAGAGCAAGGGCCCAATACCTACAGAGGGCAGAAGATTCTGCATTAAATATCTTACCGTGGTAAAAGTATTTCAACTGACATTCATTTTTTGCACTTTAAGGAGAGTTTCTGGATGATTAGTGTCTCATTATGAGGACACGACTTACTTTTGAGGCCAGTAGGTGAGGCCTATTGAATGGAGCCACTCCTCTGGTACAAACGCCCACAGGCAGTAAAGAACTGGGCAGACAGGAGAGAAGTGTTACAAATAGGTTTGACTCCATCCTTGAAAGTGTTACCTTAAAAAAGGGTTACATATTTACAAGATAATTGTTTGATGTTATGATGGCTGAATTTGCACCAAAAGTTATTCTTAAGTTCTAGAAGAACTTTCCTTAAACAAATGGTTGAAAACTATTTAAAGACTAATATATAAATTAGGACTGAAATCACCGGATTTGACTTACAGAAGCCGAACTGAGAACCAAGGTAAAGAACGAATCCATAAATAGCCCTCTCTGGCAAAGGAGAAGGAGAGTTTTCAACCATGGTCTGAAACCAAAGCAGAAATAAAAAGTGAGGAAGTAAAAAACAGGAAAGAACTGAGTCGAATTGTGTTAGTTACACACCTATCAAACGTCTATCAAGTTTGGCACCAGCCTTGCTGAGGACATTCGGATTGCTGTTATGCTTCTCAAACTGCTCTCTGATTTCGTACTGTCAGCTTAACTGAATACTCCAGCTAACATGATGCTACAGAAATATATATATTTTGTCCGTACCCCACGATCTATATAAATCTGTCGACAAAAAACAAGCAACAAAACGTTCACTGAAACCCTGGAACTTGTAAAGGACCAGCGTCGTACTGTACGATCATCAATTCGAATATGTAATGTGTGAAACTTTTCCTCGACGAGTAGTTCCCACCTGTACAACAGGACGCGAAATTAACATTTTAAAACACGTTTGTAATTATCTATGAATTGTTTGATCAATTATAATACCAATACTTAATTATGAAAAAAATGGCCTGTGTGTTTGAATTACTTTTGTTCAAATTGTCGAGGCACACCTTCACAGACTGGCTATATGTTTTCGACGGATGTATTTAGCTGTTGCACATCTCGGAAATACACATGGCTTCGGACTACATGATGTTGAACTGGACCAGTTTTGCCTGCTGTTTAGGAAAGTATTTAAAAAATGACCAGTGTTGACCTTGTTTCGACAGAAAAATACATTGTGGGGGGGAAATTATTCGTGGGACGACATTAGCAGTCACGTTTATGCTGTTATAGGTGTTTTGTTTATCAGCGTGGCAGAAAACCTGAGGGAAGGAGCCACGATATTTAAAGAAGAGGGACAGAAAAAGACAGATCATAATGTCGGAGATAAAAGCTAATAAAACCCAGTCTACTGCGACAGCGCGTAAAGTGACAGCTAAAAAGAAGAGGAAACAGTTTTGGAAAAATCTTGACATGAAAAAGCAAAAATTTAAGAAAACAGCGCCTCCACAAAAAAGGCAAGAAAAAGATGTAGCTCAGCCTATTGCACCTCCAGAAGATCCAAAGCTATTCTCTTCCAACTGGAAAGCCTTACAAGAGGTATGTCTGCCCTTAAATTTTGCTCCTACACACATTTATCACAAAGTGCATTGTCACAAGGGCTCGAAGTATTCTGTATTTCTGTATTATTCAGTATTTCTGTATGATTTCATTCATGTCTGCAAAACTGTCCACAGGTCCTAAAGGCCACCCAGCCGGAGAAAAAGCACCCCGTAACACCAAAACATCCAAATGGCGGCTTCACGAAGAAGGCCAGTGAAAATTATTCTAAAAATAAATCCCAGCAAGTTTCTGCTCCCAATCAGACGGACACTGAGAAAAAAGTGAAGCACAAAACTGGAGTGAACTTAAAGGCTCCAGCAGCCTCAGACACGCAGCAGCCTGTGGGCCCCAAAAGGAAAAAGGAGGGCCAAGAGTCAAACCACGAGCACGCGGCTAAGAAGAAGAAGTCACCTGTTGTTGAAGAGAAAAAGCTCACAGAGTATGTATGCAGATCTTACCTCTGCTGATGTTTGGGCCCAGATGATGTGTGCTGAGCCCGTCTTGTGCCGTTTACAGAGATGACCTTTGGTTTGACGATGTGGATCCCGACGACATCGAGGAGACGATGGGAGCAGAAGCAGCTGACATCATGAGGAGGAAGCAGGGCATACAGAAGAACACACACACAGAAACCTCTCTGGTTAAGAAGAATGCCTTTGAGGGGTGAGTGACAACATGCTAACCTTTGTCAAATTCACACCTTTTTATAGATTTTATACCATCATCTAAGCTTTAATTTATAGCTTTGCATCATTTGTTGGAGAAAACCAGGCTCCACGACACACACTTATTTCCTGTCTCCTCTGTGTTAGAAATAGTTTTTAAGTAACTGCCCGGTTAGACTTCAAATCTACTCGTGGTCACTCACCTCCAAGTGGCTTGTTAGTTCTTGTGAAATGCGTATCTGCTTTCGTTCTGGAAACACACAAACTACAGCCTGCGTCTGAGCTGTGGTCTTTGGCCTTCACGTATATTGTGGTTTCTCTTAGAATGTAAGGACATGTGGGGCAGAGATCCTGTTCTAGTGGGTGAATAACCAGTTAAATTAGCTACAGATTTTCTCTGAGGATGTGTCAGCAAATGGATGATATATATTAACGTCATTTTCAGTGCTGACTTCAGAGCCCTGCATGGATGATTGTGTGATTGAGTGACCATCCATAAGCATTATCTATGTTCCAATCTTGAGTGGAACCAGCCTTCAGTTCTTATCCGCTGAAATAGCCAAAATACCCAGAACATTTTCAGAGGCTGCCTCTTTGGAGACGTACGAGCTAAGATAGCTAAAGAGACGCAGCAGAGACCTAACTGTCTGTTCCCCCCATGTCAGTCTCACCCGAGCTGTCGCCGTCGACTGCGAGATGGTGGGCGTCGGTCCGGGTGGAGAGGACAGCATCGTGGCCCGCGTGTCCATGGTGAACCAGTTTGGGAAATGCATCTATGACAAGTATGTGAAGCCCACAGAGAAGGTGACGGACTACAGGACAGCCGTCAGCGGGATCCGACCCAAGGACATCAAGGATGGTGAGAGCAGTCCGAGGGTGGCGCGGGGGGGTTTAAAAGGCCTTTTATCCTCTGTTTGTGGCGCTCGTGCTCACTAGCTTGCGTCGGTGTGTCTGCAGGAGAGGACGTGCGGACAGTACAACGGGAGGTCGCCGAAATCCTGCAAGGACGGGTGGTGGTTGGACACGCCATACACAACGATTTAAAGGTGTCTTTAACCAACCCGACCCCTCAGCATGTATACATCCAGTTGTAATCATTTCAGTTAACACCTGTAAACCAACTCTTTCAGATTTTGCTGTTGGATCATCCGAAAAAGCAAATCCGGGACACTCAGAAGTATAAACCCTTCAAGAGGATTGTCGGGGTAATGGCACCACACGGCCGCCAGTCATTCAAAGACATTCCCAAACCTCAGGAATAAGAATTCCAAATACTTTCACCCCCGCCCGCCCAGCTCACTTCTGAGGCAATCCCACACTCAGTCCTGTATCCTGAATGATAATGGAGTGCTTTTCTTTGTTTAGAGCGGTCGACCATCGCTGAAAGTCCTGTGCCGAGAAATTCTCAACGTGAAGGTCCAGCAGGGCGAACACTCATCTGTAAGTACAACAGTTTATTTAACACTCAGGTTTTCCACAGCAGAACATCACAGAGGGACACTTCCTCTGTTTTTCAGGTCCAAGACGCGCAGGCCACCATGCGGCTGTACACCCTGGTGAAAAAACAGTGGGAAGCGGAGATTAAAGCCGGCAAGATCAACAAAGACTCGGACAAAAAGAGCAAAAGAAAGCCCAAGTAGAAGCGGGGCCAAGAATGTGGGGGGAATGAGAGCTGAAAACGCATGGCCTCCGGATCAGAGCATCACAGGTTTGGACAGAAAGCGTTTTGAGAGGAACCAGTGCTGCAAAGACAGCGGACAGAAAACCCCGAGAAGGCTCGCTGTGAGAATGAAAAGTGTCCAGAAAGAAAGAGTTTGTCCACAGGCTGGGACTATTTTTTCTTTAGCTTTTAGAAGGAAGTTCTACGAAGCAAGTTTGGTCGGCTCTTAGTCGTCACGGTAACATACATATTCCCATTTTTTTTTCTCAGCTTTGCATTTAATTCAGTTTTAAAATGCTTACTTTTTCATGAACTTCTTAAGGTTTGTTGTAATTTTCCTTTAATTGTAATAGAACTTCTGTGTGTTGCTGTTTTTTTTATATCCTTCCGTTCACCTCCAATAATCACAAGATCATTTCTATTTGTGTCACAAATGTTCTTTTTATTGGAGAGAGTTTGAAGAACAACATCTGGACATCAAAGATGCTCAACACCTGGAGCATCAGGCTCCTCCCACCCAAATGGAACAAACGAGGTTTGGACGTGCTTCCTAGTTCTCGCCGTGTTAGGGAGAGATTTGCTTGTGTTTGGCTCCGGAGCACGGCAGTGACTCACACAGGGATGATCTGTCCACAAAAGTCCCCCCCCCCCCTTGAAATTTTTGCTTCTTTTATCGAGCCCCACCTACTAGAGCTGACGGTCTTTGGCACATTTCTTATCTTGTTTGTGATTTGAACAGAGTCAAAAGCATTCGGTTAAACGCCTCGACGTGTCTTTGTCCTCTGGGCTCTGCGTGAATGTGTTACTTCTCATCCAGTGATGGACGGAGAGGGTGAAGCTCCTCATGTGTTCACACTTTGTCATTATGATCTGTGGCCCATGTTGTCCGGCAGAAATAAAACTTACATCCTTGGCGTAAATAGAGCAGGCTCTAAATAACGGAGCTCAGTCAAAGCTTGTTTGTATGCTCTTCTTCTCTTAATCTTTAAAGAAAATTAGCAAGAACAAATGAATTATAGTCAGTAATTTGGTCTGTAAATCATGCTGATGCAGCTTTTTTCTTTTTCATTTTTTCTTAAAAAGAACTGTATTTGGTCCTGCTAGTGACAGGTAAGAAATGTCCCTGCGTGCCAACAAAACGTGGGAGTGATTTGCGGCCCGGGGCTAATGCGCTAGTGCTGAGATGAAGCCCTCGCCCTTGGTGTGAAGCCCTGGCGCTCTAAATTAAGTCCTGCAAGGAGTTCAGAAAGGTGTTTTGATGGCCTCCAGAAAACCCCTTCAGGGACTTCGAATGCAAAGCTGGCCTCGTTTGCCGACAGAAAGACGTTTTAAGGTCTAACTGGGTTTTTGGCACAGCTGGACTTTGTGGCAGAGTTGCACCAGAATAACGGCTTATCTGATTTATGTCAGGAGGAAATCTTGTGAAACAAAAATGGAATGCACCACAAGAACAACTGTCATGCAGTTCTTTTTTTTGTAAACAAGCCGGTAGATTCTTAAAACTGATAAGTATCTGAATAAAAAAAAATCTATCTGATTGGCTTCTTCTCTCCTCACAACGAGGCCACTGCCCCTTCCTGGCTGAACAAGTTTGTCCAAAAAAGGAGCGTCTGTGTTGAGAGACTGAGAGCCTGTACCCGTGATAAATAATGTAAGCTAATGCAGCTATTTAACTAGTAGGACTTAAAAGAGACTCGTAAAACATACCCTCTGTTTGGACTTATGGTAAGAGGTTCTAATGCAGATTGATTTAATAGTTGAAAAAGAAGTTTAGCAGACTGAATGTTACATCATGTAAAACGCAGCATTTACTCTCGGAACAGAAAGAAAGTCTAAATCCTCTTGTTTTTGTAAGAAAAATTAGCCGTGGAATTAAAATCTGTGATGCATGGGAACCATTTAGTGGAACTACAGGAAACGAATATGTTCAAACGAGTTAAAAGAAGTAGTGACACCAACAGTATAAACTGACATCAATGTTGTAAATGAGTTCTTTATTTTAAAAATCTTCCATTCAACGACATGCTCAGTAATTTATTTACAGCTTAACCAGCCTCAGGAAATGTCTTCTACCCATCCGGTTTTACCTTTGTCTCTGCACCGTCAGATAATGCCACATGAATAATGGAATAAAACAGCACAAAGCTTCCTGAAACTGTTTTTTTCCAGATTGATTTTTTTCTAGGATTCCCATCTTTCTCACAGGTCTGGGGCCTGCAAATGCGCCCCCCTGACCATTAAGCGTTACACATTTGAGTGCAACGTTTTGTACACTGAGAGACTAGTCGGGAATGCTTAAGAACATCTGACAGTTAAATGCCACCTGATATCCTTTTTGTTATGTTCAGCGTCGCTTGATGCAATCTGGACCCTGTAAGACTTCATCAGAACTTCCTGTTGACCCCATAATGTCTGCTCAGGTCTGCCGCTCCATGCTTCTTCACGCATGAGTTGTGCTGTGCTGTCCCCAAAAGATTGACTCTGAATGCCTCTGTGTTGACGAAAGCTTAATTTTAGTACGGCAAAGTTGAGCATTAAGTATTTATGTGGGCTGAAGAAACTATCAGCTACATCCTGCTCTTCCCTGCTTGTGCGCTCACTTTGACAACAACACCTCTTTGTTTTGTGATTGACTGAATGTCTAAACTAACTATGGAGAGGGTTCAGATAACAGCACTTTTTGCTGTCACTAACAAAGCTTTATCGAGGATGACTCTGATCTAATTAGAAGATGACTCGCAGTTCTTGTCACGCCCCCCCCCCCCCCCCCCCCCCCCCCCCCTCCCCTACTGTGATATATCTACGACAACGGGATGGATGGCCTTGTAGCCAATCCACACACTCATCATCTTCTTGACTTTGATAAATCCCAGGCTTCTGGTAAAGCTTGTATAAGAACGAGTAAAAAAGAAAAATCCAATCGAAATTTGCAACTAGTTTTATTTGAGAAGAATAACTTCTAAAAGTTCAACTTAGTCAGTTCTGTGTTCTTTCTTAATTACACCATACACAGGCAACTGTTGGCATGGTAACAAACGTTTCCAAGCGAACTATTAAATAATACCTGCTAAACACCAGAATTTTAGGTAAGTAGGTAAATATGAGCTTTTAGCCATTAGGTTCCTGATAATTTAAGCCTTCTTGAAGGGAGGCTCTTCTAATTGTTATCATAGCCTTTGCAGAAGGAGAACTGACCACTGGTTCAGCATCTCAAATGATCCTGACCTGCAGGTCCTGAATACATGTTTTGTTTGACTATGGTACCATGGGAGTTTGAGGAATGCAAATGAACTGGAAGTGATTTTTGCTGAATAGACAGGGAGTAGCCATTGTCTCCTTAGGGTGCAGAAAACCGCCCTGCACTTACTAGAAGTATTGATTAAAAGCAAGCGTGACTGGAATACTCTCAAACCTATGTAATGCAGCTCGTGTTCAGTAGGACTTTGACCATCAGCTCCTGATGAATGTTTTTTGTTTTCTGTGATCCCCAGCCTCTCCACATCCCAAATGTACTGAATCTCTTGTGGATGCACCCACATGCACAGCACACTGTGCTTGTAGTAATGTATGATAGTAACACTTCTAACATGTACTTGACTGAGAAACGCATAGTAATGTTTAAAGAATAATTGAACACTGCAAATAAAGAAAACGGAGGGGACATTCCAGGCAGATAAAACTGTACCATGAAGATTATTCTAAACACTTCATTCAATTTGTTTATAAAATCAATTCTTTAGATTGTAGGCATGGGACACATACAAAATCAAGTTGGAACAGTCGCAGTTTTAAGTTGGTTTCAATATGATAATTAGAACATATATCCATATCTAATATGATAAAGATATATGTAGAAATGCTATTGAAACAGGGGCTGTCTATAATTGTTTTTTCTTTAAGGAGAAAGGATAGGCACAGAATCAAGGACCAATACACAGAAGAAACGCTCAGGACGCTCAGAGATGTTTTCCTTTGTTAAATTTAATTTATCATAATATGATTTTCAGCATCTTGACAACAAGTAAAAAATGGATACAGGCAGAGGTGTACATTGACATGGTCGGCGCTTATACTGAGCCAGTTCATCCTGAATTAGTGGTCATGTTGTCTACCTGCAGACCTGACCAGTCTCTTTGTACTGTAACTGAGCAGTGTCATTTTTTGAGCCTTTGACAGCTCCCCCCCTCTTTTTTCTTGGCATTGTCTAAAAATGGCCCACTTGGCTGACAGAATTCCCAAAAGGAATGTGTCAGGATTGGTAATGGTGTACTGTCACGCTTTGCAGTATCTCCACTGGCCCACTAATGCCTTCGTCTGACTCTTTAGGTGGGGCAGGCGCTTCAGTACGCCAAATGTCTTTATTCACCAGTTTGTGTTAGTCAATTATGCTCTTGTCAATGGGGCAGATTACAATACTAAAATACATTATTCTGTTTATAGATTAAATTAAAAAACAAACTCAAACAAACAAAAAATCTATTTGAAATTAATTATTTTTCAAACAAATTAATTTCCACACTTAACTGGTTCCTATTTCTTTACACTCTTTTGCAGATGGAGGTAGTTGGATTCTTAGTAGAGCTTATTTGCACCGACTTTGAAGCTTAAATGACTTCAAACTGTTTGCTCTTCACTTGTCTGCACTTTGAGCAACAGGGCATTTTGTGGTCAAAGCTGAAATTTTCAGGCACCTGTAAAATGGCCTTTAGTCCTTTTTATAATTTTTATGAGTTAACCTTGCACTTAGTTGCTGTCAATAAGCCCACCAGAAAAAAATGGCTGGTCATTGTGCTTCAGGCTCACGTCGTTAAGGCAAGTGTGATGTGTTATGATGGAAATGCCTCTCAGTCAAATCCTGTTCTTCATCCTGTTAATGTTTATTCATTTAGAAAGACAGAGGTTCCCGGCAGAGCTGTTCTTGCAACTTCGGCCATATAAAAGTACACTTCTGCTCACTTTTGGTCTGTTTATTGTAGTTGTGCATCTCCTCATGGTCTAATTTAGCCCAGATTTTGGCCTTCTTTTTTAATAATGGGTGATATCTGGTTTAGAATGAATTTAATTGTTTGACTTATTTCTAATTAATATCCACCTTGATTGTCATTCTAACTCGTTTTGGTGGTCATGCTCTGTTTCAGGTAGGGACTTTTTATCTTTATTTCTCTTTGAGTTTGTTTAGTCTCACACTGGTTCATTCGGTATCTTAATGTTTTTCTTTCTGTAGCTTTGTGGTTGTTTCATATCAACTTGTTGGCATATTTGACGTATTAAGTTGTTATTCATAAACGACAGAAGGATCTGAGCCGGGGTTCAAATCCAGGATGGTTGTTTTATTAACTTGTTCCTGTTATTTCTTTTATAATTATATCAAATCTCTTATTTTGTGCGTTCCTAATTGAACTATCTTAAATTACTTCTCTATAACATCTCAAGTTGCTTGTTTTGTGTTTTTTTTTCAGCTGTTCATAGGCTATATTTTGTTTTATCTATAAAAAAAAAAATCAACCAGCAGACCATAACATCTCAAATTTTTATTATCATTACAGCAATTTAACGCATAACTACATGCTGACATGTAATCCACCTGCTCCTGTGATACCACATGACTGGTGATGTCAGGCAAGCCCCAGCCAAAGCCAGAAACCTGTAGACAAAATGGTGTTTGTGCGTCCGTCCATCAGAGTGAGCCCGCCTGGCTTTTACAGGCTAAAGTGGAAAAGACAGAAAAAGCAAAACAAAAAAAAAATAGAAAGATTACACAGATGGCAATAAATCAACAGAACATTTTCTACAAGAGTGAACGTATATATTTAGGAAGTTGAGGAATTAGCCTCTGTATTCACCGGGGTCCTCCCACCCCTTCTGTCTTTCTCTAATCCGCCCACATGTTTCGTCTGAGAGGAAGAAAAAAAAAAACAGTGCAGAAGGTGACGCTCCTCCAAAGGAACAGAGAGAGGCTCAGAGAGGGAAAGGCAAAGGGAGAGGTGAGGTGTCCACAGGCTGCATCTCCAGTAGGAAGGGGGAGACAGAGGAAGAGCTGAATGGTAGCTACACCCTGCGCCTGAGCGTAGAGACACTGTCACAAAGGCTGGCTATTCTTTTTGGCAATAACAAAGAGGTGTGAGAGGGGCTCTGAAATCGAGGGAAATAGCGAGAAAAAAAAAGAAAAGCAAACTGTTTTGAGGGGGATTTTTCTGCTTCATTTCATCCGAAAAGACTCATCCCTTGCCATCATCAGCATGACCATAAGCTATAATTAACATTCGGCAATAACGCTCTCAAAGCGAGATTTCCAGCAACAGACGCGCACTATCTATTTCCATTTTGTTATAATCGGGGGGGGGGGGGACACAAAAAGATCAACCGAATGCCTGCGAAAATCTGGATACTATCTGAAATCATAAGAAAGAGCGATCTAACAGAGAAAACTACATTTTGATTTATCTTTTAAGCTTGATGCGCGTGTCGCCGCACGCGCTCGAAACGCACCTGAACCAAAAGCAAGTGAGTATGAACCGTGTCTGTGTATATGTCTGTATTTTGGTGGCTTTATTCTACGTTTATCCGTCTGATAACGGGGGGGGTTCTATTGGCGGAAAAAAGGGACCAAATTACAGCGTCTAGCCCACATTCAACAAGTATCGTTTAGTCAACAATACCTGCGAAATTCTCTGTAAATCGTGTGTTCTGCTCGATGTGTGGACAAAGAAGAATGTTATATTGTTTCAGATTGAAATCCTACACACTGATTTTTATGATTACAAGCTGCTAGAGCAATAAAAGTAATTGGATTTTTACTGTCTGATAAGGTAGAACCACTGATAACAGTTTCGGAATTTCATTCTCTGAACTGTAACATCCCTCATTGCACAAATGGTGGGTGTTTCCCATCTACACCTAAAAGATCAGAGCAGTTTCATGCCTCTGAGAACAACGTGTGTGTACTTTCCCCCCTCTGCATCATTTAGTGTCTGTCTGCATGAGTTTTCATAGATCTGTGCTTTTGTAACCTTGCATTTGCACGTGCTTTCAATAGTGTGTGAGTGTGAGTGTGTGAGTGTGAGTGTGTGTGTGTGTGTGCGCTCCTGCACAGATAGGTGTCAAGGCCTGAAATGGAGGTTTGATATAGGAACCAGTGATGGAGGGTGAGGAAGAGGAGCTGACACGCAAACAGCACAGAACAGAAGAGAGAAGGAGAAGATTTGAGGATGACATGGTGTGTGTGTGTGTGTGTGTGTGCGTGTGTGTGGGGCTAGGAAACTACAGAAGGGACATAGTGTGACTTTGATCTGGTTCAGGAAGTCTCTGAAAGATACAGAAAGGGGGGGGGGGGGGTT